TCATCTACGTCCTGAAATTCTAAAAAAACGTATCCACGGGGAGTAGAAAGTTCTGAGGCTACCGACAAGAGGGTAAAGAGGGCATGAGGCCAACCAAATATGTCCGGTCTGCAACTCCTCGGGTGGCAAAACAGAAGTTAAATTCTTGGACGTCTCATCTCAAATACAGACAATTTGGGATTAATGCTGTCTAGGCCGAAGAATTTAACTAAGCTTTTTTTTCTGAAGTATGTTCAGATCGTCCTAACATGAAGAGAGCGAATTTCTCAGAGACGGAAATATTCATCAGCTTATGTTTGAAATTTATCAATCCTATCTGGATAGACATTGCTACTTGGATTTTGGCACTCAATTACTCTGTCTTCTGTGACACACGACGTTTCAGGAGAACACAAAAATCAGTGACTATGTGATCTGTAGTTCTTAGAACGCATCGTTCATCAACACCCTTGTTTGTTCACCCTGGTTACGCACATAAAAGTGAGTTGCATCTTCCAAAACGAATTAGAAAGTTTTTTATTTTTATTTGCTTTAGTTGAGAAATCTACTGAGATACCGCTGTTACCTCTTCAGGTCACTCAACTTGTGCCTTTTAACGACTGCTTGCGAAGCACACCAAAGCATGTCTTTCATTCTACCCTTACTCACGGGGTCAATGAAAGCTGTGAACAACCCGTCGCCTATTGCTTTTTATAGTGAACATCAAATGGGTGAAGTCCTAGACTTTCTGCCAAACCTATTCTGTAATTGAATGTCAAATTGTGTTTGTGTTCTGACGAACAGTCGTTTTCGAATTAAGTTGATATCAGCCGGAGGCTCAGTTGAGGTCCACCTGAATCTCTCCTTAATAGTATTTCGAAGCCGACTGTTCATCACAGTATGCTTACGGTTTAGTGTTCAACCTTGAAATAAGTTTGATATAAGTTTTGAGAATGGACATATCTGAAGAATAACTTTAAGTTTACAGAAATAAACAGCGAGCTGTCCAGAGTTCCCATCTACCTTATATGAGTAGTATTGAACAGACTTTCATATTTTGAATGAGACGGCCTCTTTGCTGCATGTCCATTTGAGGCCTATCACGGCGACGGGCTTAGGTTTGGCCGAGTCTCCCATTAACACCAGGTTGCACACCAGGCTGGTGTGCAAGCAAGTGTTCAGTGCATCGCATTTTTTAAGCGACCCTCACAACCTATATTTCTCGTCCTGTCACCTAACTCTACCTCATCGGTTAGGGTCGCAGGGAAGCTATGAGTAAGAAAACCGATTCAATGCCTATCGGACTGCAGCCACCTACACTATCTGACGTAAAAACCGAATTCATTAATCCCTGATCAATGATGTGGACTGAACTGGGAAACCGAAATTGCTTGGTAAGCCCCATCGAGTAACTGAATCAGTAGAACCCCATTAAAAATGTCATTCTTACTTTGGTTTTCCAAGGTTGACCTTCGTGGGCAACCTCTAATTGAAACATACATAGACTTTGACTCATTGTCTACGATAAACGAAATACTGAAGCACTTAACGGCCCATTTCAAACACTGAAGGACACTTGTTCGGAGGGCAAACGAATATGTTTGTCATGTTTGGTGGTGCGGTCGGATGTACTGTTCTCCACACAGTGTCGATTTTGTATCCACAATGGCTCCAAATAGGGATGTTCAGTCAAATGGCGGGAACGGAAAGTGTGTGGTAACTCGGGTTGAAATAGTCGACGGAAGCATATGATGGACATTCTGCAATGGGAGCCCGTAATTTAACGGCCGAACAACGACAGACTCCATCATCCTGTTGTGAATAAGTGTGATCAACAGATCACTTTAGAAGTGAATCGGTATTGTGACGTGAGGAGTACCATTATTTTTATGCTCTTTGGTAGAGAATTTCAGGTATTAGTCGGATGAAAATTTCACGTTGGTTAAGTGCCTGTAGTAGTTATAATTACAAAAGCCGATATCTCCAGTATCACGCCAACTGGAATATGTGGCGGTCTTTTGCAGTACTTTCAGTTGAAGAATATTAAAAATGAGAGATTCGTTTGAGTATCTTGTTAACATCAATTTACTTTGCAAATGAGCGTATATATCAAACACTTTTCCTGCACTCTGTTGTTTTGAATTACGATTACTGTTCATTTGGTCCGTTTGGGTGGACGTGAGGACGGTCGGCGGGGTGGTAGTTTTATGCGACTTTGCTCATAGTCCTTTTACTTCAACAAATCTATGGACCTTTTATCCGCAACTCTGATCAGCCACACGAAAAGGTATGATGCTATTTGTTATTTATTATTATTTACTGAAAAGTAAGATTTCTAGAGCATTTCAAATTTCAACCCAGGACCTACTGGGATCATCGTCTAAGCTGATAGTGTGAATGAAAACAATAAAAAGTTGTTCAGGCACGATTGTTCTGCGGAGAAACCTAACAGTGTCCTTGATCCCTTGATCTGTACGTGATATCCGTCCCCATATTTTCGCTCATGGACATTTCGCAGTGAAAGCTGCATGATCGCACAATTGCCGCCAATCCTGATAGGTTTGAGAACAACAACAAGTCATGCTTAATCTCAAATTTACTAAGTTTGCCAAAACCCTTGTCCCTGTTGTCGAAACTTCACGTAAAAGAACACTATCCATTAAACTGGGAATTACCTGTTGCACTGGTCGAGGTCCCGCCCAAGATCCTTTCCAGGCACTCGGAGCGTAAAGCATCCAAGGTGTCTGTGCATTTATCTGTCGCAATTGCGGTAAAACAATCAAACAGATAGAGAACAAACAAAGGAAGGGCTGGTCTCATCGTTGGATGTCAAACAAGCACGGGTATTTTTGGAACTGATTCGTACGCTTATATAGGAGTACACAGAAAATACTGTTGATCACGATAACAGTTGTTACGGCAACCAGAGTTGTGGATGCATTTTCAGTACACTTATGAGTACATGCTCATTATTGTCGTTTTGTGAACTAGGCTTATTTGCTTTTTGTTTACTCTGCGATCCATTCTTGACTGACGAAAGGGACACAAGATCAGAGTGCAATAAACAGTTTATTGCTGCTGAGTGATCAGAAACACGAAAACAGCAAGTGACACGCGGATGTTTACCAGCTACAGGTTAATCACAGTAACCTTCAAATGTTCAAGAAAGTCATACAACATAAAGTGAGAAAAGTAGGATGTACGAAAAGCCTCACGTGACTTAGCATGCTTTTTAAGATATCTAAATTCGAAATGACTCTCATTTGTAGGTCCGCTCACTATGCAGAGACAAGGATTTTGGAGCAAACGTAGGGTAAAAGTAAAACTGGTGTTCTTTTCCGCAACAAGAGGGAATCAGACGGACTGCATGAGAGTTAGATTCAACGTGTCTCAATAAATAGTAAGCGGTATAGTCCTGTGCCGGAAAAGGTCATGCGTGCATATAACCTTGTTTGCTTCCCGGAACTAAATTTCATAGTCTGGTAAAATCAGTTGGCTTACTAAAGTGTTACATTCTCAACAAAATCTATTTAAACAACCAACCGGGCCTTGTTGTAGAAAATTGAGACAGGACGACTAAAAGCAAGGCTTTCTTGAATCACGAATCAAATCCAATAGGCACTGTATCAGCTGGGGAACAGGCATGTGTTCATACGATATGTAGCTGAGAGCTCATTGGAAGGCCCTCAGTGTACCTTATCAGACGTGAGTGTTAAGCCATTACACATACGACATCTTGAAGATCTCTGTCATGACTGTTCTTAATTTATAACAGCAACTAGCAATGTGAACGAATGCTTTCAGTCTCTGCTATTCACAAGAGGTCGCGCTGATTGTCTCAATGTGTGATTTAAACTGCGACCAATCGTACATTCTAGTCATTCAGCTTGACGATACCTCTGGGTCTGACAATAAGGCTGGTTTGTCATCCGGAAACTTCTGAAACTACGGCTACTCGATGGATTTCAAGCAGGTTCCTATTGTGTGGATCACGAGTCGGGTAGTCCTGGCTCTGTAACGCAACACGCAACTGTCTGTTCTTGTCATTCTAAATTAAGACACACTGGCATGGTGATTTTGCTCCTAACTCTCATCTTATTCCCAATCGAATCCACCATATCTTTGAAATCAACATCACAACAAAACCTCTTAATTTGCGCTCAGTTTATGGAGCAATAGAGAACATGTCTATTGGGACATTGCAATCTTTATTGAAAAGAATGTGTAACAGTCGGAGCGCACGTATCTTCCGGCGAAGTAAAATCTATTACCCGTAATGTGGCCGCTGTTCTCTTGTCATGACCAGAGGTCATTTGGTCGCTGTACCTCTGCAACCACATTCCACTAAACCGCATTACAGGAGACATGCCAGCGTCTTAATAGGCGCTAACAATCACACTAACCTATCAGAAAGTTATCTGGGTGCACAAGTTAACAACGATCATTCTGGCTCGTTGGGGTTTCGGCTTCAAAATTCAGTTGCAGCTGGTATCGTGCATAAAAGCAAGCGGGTTCTGACCTAACTGTTTTGTTTGTCCATTGGGTGGTGTGTTCTTCGGTGGCAACCCGTTTGACAACAAGACAAATACGCGTGGCCTCCATTGACGAGACAACACTCCATACACTTTCTATCGTTATCTGATTGCTACGCACTATTGAGTCAACCGATCAACTTCTCAGTTGTGAACACAACTTACTAAATTGGGCCTCTGAAATTGGGAGCAGCTTGGCCGTGAAGCTGGGCTCAAGTAAAACGTTCCATTCAGTTAGTGGGGAGTATGGTTAAGAAGTCACCGTACACCCAGGTGAATCAATCAGAGCAGCACGGGAACGGAATGAAGTGACGGTGGATCAGTCCATCAAACAAGAAAAAATGTGACTAACATCATAAACGAGAGATTCAATTGAGTCTCCCGTGAAAACCAAATTGATTTGCAGATGAGTGTATTTCTCGAAAACAGTGCGATTTGGGTTCAAGTAGATCATAAGGTTGACGGAAACTCGGGGACTGCGCCTACCTGATGAGCCCCAAGAAGGGCGAAACCGGTCGTGGACTGTCAAAGAGTTTTCAGCAACCTTGTGAGTAGTTTCCTTTATGAAAATATACTTCGATATCTCGAATATCGTGCCAACTGAATCATGAGGCGGCCTGTGTGCAGCACATTCAGCTGGAGAACAT